TTCTTAAGTAGTGCTATCACTGTAGCTCACAACAGCATCCAGAGATCAATAGGGTGCTGGTACCATGACATGGTTTTTCTTACTACGACAGGTTGCTTCTCACAACGATTAGGATTTGGGGTGACCCCGACAAGGTCGGAACATGTAGCTAGGTTTGCGCAACTAGTCTTCTAAAAGCGCTGCAGGCAACATGTGGCTGCGGGGCATGCGCACAAGAGCCTGAAGGCGAGATGAATACACATTTTGGGATCTTTGGGCCCTTGAAAATCCCCAAATGCCAACTCCCAAGCGATCCGGGCTCTCATGGGAGGAGCAGCCGGGAGGACACATTGTGGCTGTTTGGACCCTTGAAAATCCCCAAATGCGTGCAGCCTGACAAGCGATGTGGGCTCTGATAGGGGAGGCAACTGGGAGCACACAATTTGGGAGTTTGGGCCCTTGAAAGTCTCATGATGCGTGCTCATATGGGGGCAGCAGCTGGTAGTACATATTTGAGGGCTCTGGGACCGTGAAAAACCAAAAATGCATACTCCCAAGCCATCTGCTTTGAGTGAGGGGAGCAGCTGAGTGTTGTCGTGCTACAGTGGTCTGTTTTGTGGGCGTGGTTGCAACGCTCCCTCACCGGAGTTCATCATTCCCTCCACAGAACCGCTTGGCTGTCTGGGGCTTTTGCTTTGCTTTGCATACCCGGCGAGTTGGTAACACGCCTAGCGCGGCTTTACACATGACGTTGCATGCGGCCAATTTACATGGCATTGATTGGCTCTCCGCAACTGGTTGCAGCGAGAGCCGCCCCGGCACGAGTGCCCGCGGGGCACCAATAACTTTGTACACTACGACTTCCTGGACCCAGAGGCTTCCGGGGTTCCAGGGAACTGCACACTAATCAGCTATACAGATGTAAAGAGGGGGGCGGAGACCGCGCACCATCGGCAGCGTGTCACGGGAGCAGTGAGGATCGGTGAGGAAGGCTGAGGAGGGCATCGGAAAAAGTGAGAGGGGGGTGGTAGAAGGCATGTTACAGTAGGTCTTACAAACCCAATGCAGGATGCTCAGTTGCACATAGCAATGGCTGCAATGGCTGCAGAGAGGGGCAGAGGTCAATCATGGAGCTGGGCATCCCTGCAGACGCAACATGTGCTTCGCGGCAGTTGCAAGGTGCCTCGCTGGCTAGACCTCTTGAGTGGGCTCCATTTGGCTAAGGGCTCTTGCGTTTGGACGAGATGGTTGAGTGCGGGAGTTGCAACACGGGATGGAGTGCCATCATCCGTGACCCTAAACCTGTGAGACATTCTCGCTCTACCCCTACCCAGACGCTCAGTCAATAAGCTGCGATAATGGCCTGAGTGTGGGCTCGGACCGACATGCACTATGCCCGAGGAAAGCTTGTACGTGACCCAGCCCAAATTGTCACCCTCAGCAAAATACGGGATTGATACGTGCTCCCCCGCGAATCCTATGGACACCTCCGACTTGCGTATAGTCCCTGCGTCATGAGTGAAGCGAAGCAGATGCAGGCAGAGCCATCTGGGCGGTGCTGTTAGTGCATGCTTATGTGGTTGCAGACTCCATGACTTAATGCAGTTATCCAAGGTATCGGGGTGTGGGGGGATAGGAATTGGGAGACCCTGGGAGGTAGTGCCAGAATGGCTGTCTGGGGCAAACGTGGGGCAACAATAACGCCCCAGAAGTCACAGTTGCTCATTGCTCATCACTATCCACAGAGAAAAGCTGCAACAAGTGTTGTAGATCATGTGTGACAAGAGGCAGCGCTGGCGCGCTGGATGGCTGGGGCCGCGCTATCTGCTGCCCTCTGGCGGAGTCGGGAAGGAGCCCAGCTCCTGAGCAGAAAGCAGCCCCTTGTTGTTGCTGGGTATTCAGTCAGGGCAGCCTTAACGGGCTAAATAGCTACACTTGAAGGCTAATCTTACCTCTCCAATGCAGCCACCTAGGAAGACAGCAGTTTGGAGCATCGGTATTCTTTGGCGCCGCTTGAATGCAGTTCTGTAGCCTTGAAATCCAGCCACCAAGGTTGTGAAGCTGTCGGTCGGGTTTTCTGTGTCAGCACGCCAGGACGCCAGGTACGCTGCACTGCGTGGAGGTGTTTGAACTCATGGTCAGCTTATGGCAAGATTCGGCATCTTCAAGAATCCCTCACGAGATTATCAGCCTCTCGGTCTTTGTGCGTTGCCTTCCCATCAATAGGCTACCAAAGCTGACATGAGTCAGGGGTGAAGGTAGCTGCCTCTCAGGTACAATCTGCTCAAACGCACCAACTGCCACGACGTCCTGCAAGTGCTTCTGAGAGAGTCTGCGCAAGCCATTCCGCCGCTGATGCACGTGCAGATGGGCAGCGGGTGCACGACGAGCAGCGACGGCAAGGTTGACAGCTCAGAGCGGCAGAGCGAAAGTGCCATCAATTGCCGTGGCTACCTTTGCAAAACTCCAGGCTCTCCATTGCGAACAGAAGAGGTCTTCCCTCGACTTGTACGGCCTTGCCAGGAGACTGGCAGGTGAGCGTTGGCCGTTGGCGGCCGTTATTTCTCGCATGGGGTGTAGCAGTAACATATCTAGAACCTCGAAACTTGCAACAGGCACGCGTCAGCAGCAGCTGCAGCAGCACTTCTGGGACAGCGCTGCTACCCAGATTCAATGCTTATGTCCTGGGAGGCATGGAAATGATCAATTAGCATGATGGCAGTATGAAACAGTTCTGCAGGCGGAATGAGCAGCCACAAGCGCATATCCTGTCAGGTCAAGCAGCACTTGCATGCTGCTGCGGATGCTGTGTTCCATCAGCGGCCGGTTCGCAAGGAGTGCTTGGAGGGCCAAGACTTTTTTACTGCGGACCAAGGCTGGGCTCCGTCGGCTCTGCATCTCGCCAGGTGGCTTGGATTCAAATTGCAGCTGACAAAATACTGCATTGCAGCATATTGCAGCTAATGGAGCCGAAGTATCTTAATGTTGCGCAGAACGAGGCATCGCCAGAAGCGCTGAAGCATTGGTCGTTGGCCAACGAAGCATCCATGTCAGAAGAGGGTGCGCCTCCCTTGATATGAACGAGCGTTTACACTTTCTCCCTCCCTCCCTCCCTGCGTCCCTCCCTCCCGTGTTCGTAAGTACGATTGGGAACTGCCCAGTTGACAGTACGTTAGACGCCTCTGGGTGCAATTTTCTCTTATGCATGGCCAATACTTGACCGTTTCTGATGATTTGCTTCTGCGTCGTTCACTAGCAAGGGCAGGGGCCGAAACTCAAGTGACTTCCACGGCGCATGCCGATCCGGCGAGGCTACCAGAAGCTGCGTGCATATCATCGAGAGCAAGCTCGCGAGAGACGCAAGTATACAAGTTCAAGATGATCAGCCCACGAGCTGAGGTTGCAACAAGGAGTGTACATAGTACCGGAGCTGTGCGCGAGCCTTGGAGCCTGGCCCTGTAGAATGCTTAAGAAAGAAAGGCTCGACCGTGTTGTTTTGACCTGGCTACAGGGAGGCAGCTACCGAGTTTACACAGTCTCACTGCATCGGGCTAAACGCTGCTCGTGGATCCTGCAGAAATGTTGCAGGCCAACGTTCGAAATTTCGAGGATTCAAGTGCACATCCGGCACATGGAATTGCATAGTGTGGTCAAAGACAGACAGGAAAAGTGCATGTTGATGGCATTCCTGGAGGCCCGCTCCATGCACATCGTACAGGAAATGCAGACAAGGCAACGCCCCACAGCGCAGTCAATGCAAGCACATAAACCAACAACGTGCTGAGGGCAGTCTTCCCTGACAAGTTCGTACTTGCAACAGCCGTGTCTGCTTGCGAAAAGGCAGGGTGCAATTATACAGAAAATGTGCCAGCGTGCCTCACTTGCTGGTTAGGCACGACGCTGGGAAGAAGCTTTGGGGTTGCTGGCGCAGGCTCTGGATGCAAGGAATTGCATGTGACGGGGATTAGCGCGGTAGGTGGCCGGCTTGGGCATGTTCGCTGCAGCATTACGTTGGTCACTGGAGGCATGTGCTCAACAAATCTCACCCGACCAGATATTGTTTGGCCCTTAAAGCAATCGCAAAAATCAGCACTTATGGACGGAGTGGCCAGACCTGGTACAGCCAACAGAGCTTGCAAGGTACAGCGCAGCAATCAGTGCCTGCGAAAAGGGGAGATCGTGGGAATCGGCCCTGGTCCTACATCCGACTTTCTCAAGGTTGATCTATCGGCCCGCTTTTCTAACAGTGCTTTGGTTTGAGCCCTCTCCATTGATTCAGCACTTAGCGGCTCTTCAGCCTGCCTCACCTTGCACTGGAGACCCCCGAGCGGAAAGCTCACGTGCCATGCGTCTGAAGCCGATATGGCCCAAGGTTTAGTGACCCACAGCCATAGCTACAAAGCAGCGGCAGGCTGCTTTGTGGTTGTGTCGGGTGTTTTGGGTCTGCTGCTGTTGCCCAGCTTTCCAGCATGCTGGCAGCTGGCCAAAGCAATACACAGGACAGGTCTTCGCCGACTCATCTACCACTTTCGAAAGGTGAAGAAGTTGAAAAGTTGCCGCTTCTGCGCCCGAGTCATCCTCCCACAGGAAGCCTACAAGCTCTGCGGCTGTTGCGAGTTGCTCTGCTGCGTGAAATGTAGTCAAGGAGAAGAGGCCTTCCGCCATAAGCATGTGCTACATCATGAAGTGCAGCCCTTGGTTGTTGACACCGAGCCACTAGCTGCGGCAAAGTCAGTTGGGCAGGCCTTGACAATCTCCTTCGGTCTCTACTCAAGCCGGCCTTGTCTGGGTTGGCGTGCTGACAATGCAACTTATGCATGGCATTCATACGGCGAAGTTGGACACATGGCCGGCTGCTTCGCGACCGGCTTGCAGGGTTTGCTGCAAGGGTTGCGAAGTCAAGGCAAGCCCATCGTGGGAATACTGTCAGCAGTAAGCATTCCATGGTTCACGGTTGACTTTGCCTGCTCCTTGGCTGCCATCCCGCTGGTGACTATGCACCGAGCAACAGGAGAAGTCTCCCTGGCACACATTCTTGACAAGACAGGTCTTTGCGTCCTTGTGGCGTCAAAGCACCTGCTCCCAGTGATCTACCGAGCTTGTTCGGCAGCTTCTGCCTTGCGCTTGCGCGCTGTGATTTGGATCAACGATGCCTCCGAGTCCTACTGCCTTCAGCACTCTGCTCGTCCGCTCTCGGACTGGCAGAGCACAACAAACACATCAGCCTTGCAGCAGAAGTGTTTTGAAGAAATCTTGCGGGATGGAAGCGATTCACCTCTGACCCAAGCAGCCTTCAGGGAGCCTAATTGTGTGGCTAAGCTACTGCCGTCCAGTGGAAGCACTGGTGTCCCGAAACTGGCGGTAGTGACTGAAGAGGCGTTGTTGAAGAACACTGGACAGAGGTTCGAGTCGCCACAAGGCTGAAAGCATTGGTGTGCCCGAAACTCTGCATAGCTCTGCTAACTTAGCACTGCTAACTCAGGTCAATTGACATTGTGGCCTACGCCTTTGAGGCCATGCGTCAGAGCCACGACGTGCTAATGCAGGGAGGCCGTATCGGTGCTCGCCTCGAGAAACCCACCTCAACACCCAAAGAGAGAGACCTCGTTTTGCCAATGCTCTCAGGGTTGGACATCTTGGACTCTGCATGGATGTAAGGTGTCTTCTCCGGATCACTGGATCGAATGTTGGAAGATGCCAGAGCTTTGCGCCCAACGGTGTTTGCTGCAGCACCAACGCTTCGCAGCCGAACCATCCTGGGAAGCAAAGTTAGGCTAGCTGCTAGCTTTCGTTTGGCACGCTCTGAGGTTCTGGAATGGTTTATGTGCTGACTTCGAGAATGACGTGGCTCGGGAGCGTGCATGCAGACAGAATGGCAAGCAGCCAATGAAAAGCCGTTCACGTCCTTGACTTGTCATATCCTGTCGTACATCCTGTCAGAGGAGCAGGAGGGCGAGAAGGTGAGCGAAGCTGTTGCTCGGGCTAGAGTGCTTGCGGCTTGGCATGCCCCCCGTCCAATTTAGTGTCAATCCATTACTTCAGTGCGATGCGGAGCCCAGGGTTCTAATGCAAGCAGCTGGCGCCATTCACGCGAGAAGGCACAAGCGTTACATTGCACACCCCAACACATACCAGACAAATGTGACCAGCCTACAGCTTACAGCAGTAGCAGCAAAAAGATTATCGGCTCATTGCTCTGACCAGTCGTGGGCACTTGTTCAGTGCGAGGGCACGCCCCCACAGGAGCTGGGCATCGCAGATTCTTACGTTATCCCATGATCATTCTCTACGGATACCTACCATTGCTGCCCATGGCCTCCCAGTCCATTCTATTTCGCACGCGCTTATTGGAGCAGGGTGGAGCCCTACAGAATTCGGCCAGCGAGTCATCACAGTCTAAGCATGCAATCACCATTTACACCCTCCAATAGCTTTTGCCACCAGGATGTAAACCGAGAGGTAGGGCGCCGCAGACATGCGATCACCGAAGGAGTCAACTTTCGCAGAAATCATCCGAAAAGCAAGGTGGATGCCTCTAGATGTGGTATGAAGCTATACAAAAGCAGAAGATAGATGCTGCATAATCTTTCTCAAACAGCCACGCTCGTTTGGCTGAACAAGGAACGCTGCATCTTGGGCAATCGAATCGACGCATTGATCTCAACCGGTGCGCCACTTCAGCACCGAGTGCAGCGGTTCATGATTCGTTTCGTGCTCAGACGCTTTGTCACTTGGTGCTCATCTTTCCTGCTGGATGCCTAAAGTCATAGCTCAGGTTTGTTCGGCAAGCTGGTAGTGGATGGGAGCCTTGCATGCAAAGGGAAGTCACAAAGACCAGTGCCAGCTTGGTACGAGATTGAATAGCTGCGCGACTCAACCGGGCCATGTGCCGGTGAAGCTTCTGTGCAAAGGTACGGATGCACAGAGACGGGCAGGCCGAAGTCTGCGATAGCAGGGAAGCAGCAAAACTGTCACAGCACTTCTGCCACTGTCGAACATCTGCAGGCTCGCGAGCAATGGCTCGATTGCACAAAATGTGGAGATGCGGCTGCAGGATCTGCCTGAGATGGGCTATCTCACTTCAGATTGTCCACCACGTGGTGAGATCTTAGCAAGATCGCCATACATGGCAGGACGGGGCATGAGAGTGCTTCAGGGTGAGAGGTAAACGTCGAAAATCAACAGTTCAAGTTGGAGAGCCGGATCTTTACCTTCCCACGTGTTCTGCAATCAAATGAAGAGTCTTCCGGAGACGCTGCGTTAGAGATTTCATAGATTCACCTTCTCCCTTCCTTGCGACTAATGTTGAAGTCAATGCTTCTTTGCAGCTCGAGGAACTTGATTCCGGTGAGAATTCACGTCGGCAGTTCAGGTGCTTCGTTGAACTGGTGTCATCCTGGTCAGGATACTTCAGCCTACAGCGATTCTCAGAGCAAGGCATCCTGGCAGTGATTTAGTGTCCTCATGATTTCCGCAGTGTCTAGAACGGCAAGGTTTGAGGGAATCTGAACAGAGATTGATAAGAAGCACATAGGGGACATGAGCATCTTTCAGGTACTATCGGGCAAGTGGAAGCAGACTCCGAAGACTGGATTTCACTGAATGGCATCATGTACTTTCGAACCGGTGATGTTGGCGAGCTCGTCACATGCCTGCAGTCAGTTTTGCTCAGGCCACAATGCATCACAATGCTACGTTAGTGGGTGCGGCGGGGTGGTCAAAGGTGGCTCCTGGCAACATTCGTATCATCGACCGCTGCAAGCATCATTTCAAGCTCGCTCAGGGCATTCATGTCGCGCCAGAGCCCATCGAAGCCTGGTTGCAAGACGCCTCAGCTGAGACTGCAAGCTTCTCGGTGCGCTCTGCAATGCGCTGTGCATCAGGAAAGGGCTTTGCTCGAGAGCCAGTTGATCTCGCAAATCTTTGTGTGGGGCTGCAGCTTCATGCAGGCATGTTCATTTGCACTTTGAGTTCGGGGCACTCTGGGTCGTTTTGTGGTTCTTATTTATTGAGTTGCCGATATTTGAGACCCTGATCGGTGAGGCCACAGGAGCAGTGGTCGTGCCTAGCCAGAAGCTGCTGCAGAAGCTTGGGCTGGGAGACATGCAGCCGCTGGATGCAAGATTTCCACGTCATCTTGGTTGTTTGATGGCTTAAGCAGCGAAATGCGATGAGCAGCTAAGGATCTCATTTGCGTTGGAGTCGGCCCAGCAAGATGCATCACGCCTGGTTCTTGCAAGCCTGGCAGATGTTGGCCGCAGACACGGCTTGAAAGCATGGGCGGCTTGCTGGCAACACTATCAACATCATTTAGCATCTGTTGGCACATGAACCACTCAACCAAGATGGGGCCACTAATGCATGAACCGCTGCAAGGCAAATATTCAAGACCAACCTTGAAGTCTTGTGGAAACACGGATCAGCAAAGTTGAAATGGAGCTAGACTCACGTGGTCAAACCGGCAATCTTTAAATCTGACCACGGCAGCATGTTCGATTGCTTTGGCTTCCGGCGTAAGTGGCAGTGGTTCGGAGTGGTGAGGGCTTGTTTTGCGAGTTCCGTTTTGGAAGTTCAGGAAATACCACAGCGCCTCATACTTGAGCCGACTGAGTTCTCCGAAAGCCAGGGCCTGCTCACTTCCTCCGGCAAGCTCAGCAGAGCTGCCTTGATTCGCCGCTTCCTGCTTGTTACATCCTGTTGCAACTTGCAACTCAGCATGAGCGAGCGCCCTGTGGTACGTAAGGCTATGGAAAGCTGCTTTCCGCGCTCTGGCTGCATGGGTTTTCCTTCCTGTCTGCCATAGCTTCAGGTATTCTCTTGAGCTCAAAAACGCATGTTTTGACAAGGAAGGATCGACCGAACATGAAGGTTTGGAGATCACATCCGCGGCCCCTGTAGCAGATGGAGTATGTGCCGGCCTGCGCAATATTCTCCAGCGAATCTCGCCAAAACAGAGACTTGTCCTGCATCAAATCAGCTAGTAGCAACCTTGTCGCGCTCATGTCTCAGCGTGGCCAGTGCTGAACGCAGCGAGCAGCGAGGAGTTTCCAACCAACGGATTCCATCAGCTCCCTTGGCCTGGACTCCTTGGCTGTTGCTCGACTGTCTGCGCAACTGCACCAACAATTTGGGCAAGAAGTTTCAGCTCGCGTCTTATTCACGTGATCGGCTCAGTCCTTGTGACTTCGTTTTAGGACTCCCCAGACTCTTTGGCAGCTGCAGCCTCAGGCTGGAGACCCTTGCAGATCTGGAGCGTCTTGTCCTGGCTGGGCCCCAGACAGCTCGTGCGATTGTTTGCAAGAGTTCGCAAGTCATGGATTTCGAGAAGGAGGCACAGTCCAGATGGGAAGACCTTGCACGCAGCGCTGCAGGATTGTGTCAAACAGGCCATCAGCCTGGGCGCGCTGTGTTGTTGACAGGCTCGACTGGGTTTCTGGGGGCCTTTGTCGCCTATACACTTGCACATGCTGGATTCAAGGTGCTGTGCTTGGTACGTGCCACTTGCGCTGAACAGGCCACTGAAAGACTTCGTGCCTGTTTAGCATTCTATCAGCTTGCTGAGGAGCTTCCAAATGCCTTAATTGCTATACCTACAGAAGGTGTCGAGAGTCCACATTTGGGTATTTCCAGAGGCCTGGAAGCTGTGGCAGGAAAGGTCGGCACAATTGTGCATTGTGCGGCACAGGTCTCAGGCGTCTTACCATACAGCGCACTGTGTGAAGTCAACGTGGGTGGAACACAGCAGGCGATTCTGACAGCCCTGCAAACTGGTGCGAAGCTGGTGCATGTGTCCACGCTGGGGTTTGTTGAAGATGGACACCCGGAAGTCAGCAAAGTGCCTACAACGCATTTGCATTGTCATACAGGATATGCCCAGTCAAAGTGGGTGGCGGAACGGTTGGTATGGAAAGCAATAGAGTCATTGGCCTTGCCAGCAATTGTTCTGCGGCCTGGCACAGTTTGCGCAGCACGATCAGGAGCCTGCAACATCAAAGATGCAGTCAGCATGCTGCTGCTTGGACTTGTGCACTTGAGCTGCGCGAGTCTCGACGCGCGCTCACCATTGCCAGCTGGGTTCAACTTGGTCCCTGTCGACTACGTTGCAGAAGCTTTGGAGCCTCGGCCTGGAACTCAAGGTGCCTTTTGCGTCCACAGAGTGATACGGTGATGCTGCTATTTCAGAAAGCGGTGGTATGAAGGGGCCACTGACTCAGCAAAACGAACTTATTTTTCCAGGGGCTCGCTAGGTTTTGACGGTGTCAGGTTGATGTCCAAGGGGATTCACCAGAGCGCCCGCAAAGGTTTTTGGAAGTTAAATGTTTTCTTTTCTGCCAGCACGGCTCTCCTTTTTGGTCCACTGCTGCCCCATCTCTGTTGAGCCTGTTTGCGACTGATGCTATTTACTTTCGGGCCTGCTGTGTCACCAGCATGAAACACAGAATTCATACATGAGATTTGCAACGCTGACTCAAGCGCTGCGTTTAGGAGGAACCTTGCCTGGCCAGCGAGTCATGTTGCGACAGACAGTGCGGAGACTGCGACTGCCTAGCCAGGCCAGAGGAGTCAGAGGACCCCAAGAGGAATGCTGTCCACTGCATTGATTTGCGTTCACAATTGTACTCTGAACTTGCCCTGGCGCGCGTTTCTAGGGCGAAAACCTTCCAACGCTCAGTTGATTATGCCTGCTCTTAGCCCAAGTTTGGTTTACCAAATCCTGCGCTTTGGCCCCCCAATGGTATGCTGAGTTCATCTCAGCAGCCTTCTCTGGTTGGCATTGGCATAGGTCTTCGCATTCCGAAGTCCGAGCATCCCGAAACTCAGTTGTAAACAGCTGATACCAAGGTAGTTGCTGTAAGATCCCGTCGAAGATTCTTGGCTTTGTTTTACAAATCTTTTGGGCTGACATCTTGAATGATGTCAGACTAAACAGATCAACAGTACCTTTGCCGAATCTTCCGTATAGCCTCAGGCTTGCCACCTGGTCCTATTCATCTTTGCGCGCCTGAAGCCACTTCCACGAGCACCTTGTGTGAGTGGTTGAGGGAACGTCCATCTCCCAGTCTTCAGAGTTGGTGGCAAGAAATGACTGCTGCCGACAGTTCAGGTCACTCATTGCCTGACGTTTCTGCCGAAGAGTTCTGCAGGAAGGTTCAACAGGTCGGGTCTTGCATTTCCATTGCTGCACACAACGGGAAGTCAGTTTGTCGGTGCTAAATGTTTGTTGCAGAGCCTACCTGAGGTGGATGAGACGCATCCCTTGTTTGCTCTGCGCAGCAGCCTAGGGCAAACTCGGGATGCGTGCTCTGCTGCTCTCCCTGTCATCAAAGCGCAGAATGAGCGGGCGCTAAAGCTGAGGATCCCAGTCGCATTCGTTGCGGGTAGGCTCCTCCAGCGGATTCGCGTTGCATGCTCTGAATTTTTGCAGGACACCACGCACCATTACCAAGGGAATCGTGCACAAGTCCATCGACTTTCTGCAAAGGGCGCATGAACAAAAGTGTTTCAGAACAGTGCTGAGGTTCGGGGTTTCCTGCAGAGCTCTCAAGATAGCCCTTGGACCGTGCGCATGTAGTGCTTCCTGGCAAGAGCAACCAGCACCTGCCTGCCGACAGCGTTTGGCAGCCCGTAGCTGGGAAAATGGTCCTTGTAAAATCAATCCATCTATCTGCACTTGCAGTTTCGAACGTGAACCATCTCCCCCAAGCATGAAATTCTGGCTGGTTGTAATCGAGTGGGTCCAAGGTAATGATGACACACTGCAACACATCCGTGCCCCCAACACAGTGGCCTTAGGAGAGGTTTGCCCTAAGCGTTCCAAAGTGGCCAATGGCAAGTGGTCAAGACGGCATCCATGGTCATGGCCAGATTGAATGGGCCAAGATCCTGGGAGAAGAACTCATGGTGGGCAGTCGAGCACAGGCAGCCCAAGTTGAGAAAGCATCAGCCACAGGGGAAGCCAGTGTGCAGCCCACTGCCCACAAAAGTGACGGAGATCATCCGGGACCCAAGGAAGAGAAATTGAGTTCTGTGCGAACCTCCCATGCCATCACTAGTGCTTTGAAATTGCTGGTGTTGTACTTCTCCGCGCGATGGTGTCCCATTTGCGCGGAATTTGACATGATCATTCGAGACGTGTATGCTGGCCTGAAGTCGTTGGAAGAAGCATCAGACATTGAAATTGTTTTCATTTCCTGTGACCTCTCCGAAGATGCCTACAGGATCCACCTGAGGCGAATGGGATCCCTGCTTGGGGCCACATGGTCACCAAAGCGCTTGCAAGAAGTGTCAGACCGGTGGGAAGTCAAGGCAATTCCAACAGCTCTTCTGCTGGATGCGCGAGATGGCCGCATTGTCACAGCCACTGCCAGGAAAGACATGGAGCAGGCGTACGAAAGTGTGATGCTGAGCGGGTCGAAAGACACAAAGGACACGGAGAGCTACAGCATCCTAATGTTTCGCTGGCTTGAACTCCTTGACATGCAACGTGCAGCTTTGGATGATGGGGTGGCTGTGAAAATCGACGAGAGCTCTGACAGCGGGGCGTCTGGACGTTCTTCTCGCAACAGCCGCGGGAGCAAAGCTTCATCACGGCGGTTCAGTAAAGGCTCGGCGCAACAAGTGCCGGCAGAAAGCAGCTGAGAAAAAAGGTCAAGTGCAGCCCCAATGAGAGTCCTGTAGAGGGCCATGCGAAGAATGCACATCTAAAGCTTGTGTTGCCCCATACTGCTACAGGTGCCCCCATGTTCAAAGAATTGTGAAGGTACCATCACAGGCCGTCTCAGGTCTGTTTGCGCTATACTACACAATCCCTACAACTTGATCATGCTCGATCAAGCCCCCAGTAGAAGCAGATGATCCTTACGTCACCTTCCACGCATCCGGAACACTGCTTCTGCAGTGCCCGCCCATGCTCCAGGCCTTGGCTCTGTATGCTGAAATGCAGCAAGGAGGTCCTCTGCAGCATTCTGCACTGCAGTATCTCTCTGCGTGCGTCGTTGAGGGCGCAAATTGGCAACTTTCACTTTGGATCGCTGCAGGTGTCCAAGTTGATGTGATCACCTGCTCGGGACCTCAGGTTTGCAGGCGTAGTGCTCCGCAGCTGTAATCCTTAAATGGACCCAGGTGCTGCCATGCTGAGTGCCTGCGAGAAGTGTAGCAGCCTGAGTTGTTTGCTCGGAGCACCCTACTGCTACCCTTGTGATTATGGACTTCCTTGCATGCAGGTCTGCAGTGGGAGTGGGCGCTGAGCCTGTTGCAGGAGGCGCGAGACAGCCTGCTTCCATTTCACGCTGCAGCAGAAGCGTGGACAAATCAATGGGCACTCATGAATTCACGTTTTTCTTGGTTCTGATGTGCTGCGTGCATGATAAGTATGTTAAAGACTTCAAGTGAATTCCAGTGGGATTCGCTTCCTGAGCCGTGAACTCGTCACGGATGGAGCGCGGGTCGTTCTCGTGTTGTCTCTTCTGGCAGGCGACAAGTTCACACCTTACTTTGGACGTGCTGGCCTACAGTGTCAGTGACCTAGTTGCCAGTACGGAGAAGACGAAGCCTCTCATATTTTGATGCTGCAATGATTTGTGTCACTGTGTCACTTTCTTGACTTGACGGGTTCCTGTGCAAGTCAGGCAGCTATCAGTGCTTGTGCCACTGGCGGGCAGTGGAAGTGGGCCTTTATCTGAGAAGTTGCAGTTCTGCTTGCGCCACCGTCCCGCGCAAAAAACCATCAACGTGACCAGGCACTGTGCTTGGCTGACAGGATGCAGACTGCAGGACACCCACTTATAAGCAGACTTAAATCCATTCCTATAATTAGCTCAGAAGTATGTGCGCGGTCACTCAAAAGTTAAGCCATGGTGCAAGCTCTTATGTTGCAGGAGTGAGGCAAGGTGCTGATGGGTGTTAGTGGTTGATGTGAGGTGTACGAGCGTGCTTCTTGCACGCAGTTGACCATGCAGTCAAGTGAACAGATGGCCAGGCTTGACACCTGCGCTTTCAATGCCAGGGCCCGAATGCAAGATTGCAATGCACCAAGCAAGAACGCACCAAATCCGTTCCTTCTCGTACCTCGTTCGAATTCTCAGGCCCTGGCCACCTCCTTCGAAGTAGCGGGCCTTTGGCAGAGGGCATTGCAATCTGTTGCTGTGGCCTTACAACGGTGCCTTGGATAGCATCACCTGGCACATCCTATGGCACATGAGGTAGCAATGCAACTTCAAAGCGAGAGGCATGCTTTTTGAGAACAGCAGCGTCTTGCGCTTGGAATGACTGATCTCACTTGTCAAGCTAAAGGCCAAATCTACTTACCTACGGCGTAGCTCTGCGGGCATGCGCGCAAGGCCTGACACTGTACTGCCTAGTGATGCGAGCTTCATCCATCGCAAGAAGGGTATGTTAACAAAGGTGACAAAATGTTGGAGGTCAGCACAGAGCATTCCGAAATATTGCGAAGCTGGTTGCAGGAGCACTCTGGGAGGCGGCGCTGGGGTTCCTCAGCGGAGCCCACCGAGGTGGGTGCTCGTATTCAGATGTATTCAGATTCCATTCCGATTTTGGCGATCCAGGCAGAACTGAGCTGGACGCCATGGCCTTTGCTACAGCTGCGCAGACCCCAGCCTGTTGCCTGAAATGTTTGGGCTGAGTTGCAATCAAACTATGAACCTATTATGACATGTGTTGTCTTCAGGCCAGCAAAATATTTGCTTGGCCTGTGTCAAGGTTGCAGCCTGTCAGTTTCGGGGACATCTTGCACAGGCAATGCAGGGCAGTGTAGAGGATGACGCGTCCAGTCGCCAGCTCGCGAGAAGACTCGGAGAGTTGCCGCGAGCTGCCTCTCACTAATTGTTTCTGGAGACAAGCCATCCAAGACCGTCGCACCCAAATAGTGGTGTAACATCTCATGCTTCTGGATCCTTGTTGCAGGCGCCGGAACTCTTCACAGAGCTGGCTGAGTCAGGCTGTGGGTGCCTGGCACGTGCCTCGGGACTGTCGTGCAAGGCGTGAGCACCCAGACAAGGCATTGGACGTGTGGCTGTGCACAGCGCTGCAGGCAAGATCAGGCAAGCACAGCTGATGGGTAAAAAGGTAGCAAGCGCAAGGCAACAAAGCAAGGGCTTCTGTTGCACGACAAGATTTTGCACACCTACACAAATGTGGGTTGTGTGAAGCTTAGTCAACCCGCCCAACTTACCCTGCAAAAGCGTACTGCAATGCTGCCTTAGCTCGGAAGCATGCTGCCTATCCGTCTTTGTTGCACGCGTTCTCAAAAGGAGACAGATGTAGCACCTGGGTGGAGACCAGTGCGTATGACAGGGATCTGACTTGCAGAAGTGATTTCTCAGTACCATGATCAGCCCAGCATCAAGTATAACAAGACCTAGCTGAGCAACAGTTATTGTGCGCCCGCATAGGACAGCCATGCCAGAACTGTCCGCTTCTCAGCGCGCCAGCAAAATCCTTGAACTGAAGCCTTTGCACATCCTAAGGCCTGTACCCGCAGCGGCGGTTAGAAATGGTCACGGTCATTCTGCCGACTGCGGGCGCATGCTGCTAGCGGCTGCCCTCGGAGTAACTGTGACTCAAAAGTAGCAAGCACCCACTTTTAAGCGCTGAACTGGGGGCAACTCTGACCTTCGCACGTTTTGATCCACTTTGTGCTGCTTGGAGATTGCCCGAGGCACATTCAAAGCTCTCACCAGCTTCGGGCTTAAGTTTACAACATCTCAAGATGGGTCTGCCGCTTTGCCAGTTTGTGCTGTCTCAGCGCAGCAGCACACAGCTGCTATTTCCTTTCCAGCCTGATCTGGAGGCAAATCAGTCAAGGCTTGCGCCTGTTTGGAGCTTGGAGGGCCATGGCAGATGTAGTCAGAAACGCATGCGCTCCCCGTGTTGCTAGCATCCATGCTTCAGTGAGCTGAGTCATCTCCAACTTCGCCATTTTCCCCGTCTTGAACTCAGAGAGCCGCATGGCTTACCTCAGCTGGTAGGATTCATTTCCTGCTGCAGATAGTGCAGGTGGCAGAAAAGCTCGGAGGGAACTCCAGCACTGGCCTCGACATCATGTGCTTGCTCTTGATTCTTTTTTTCTGGATGCATAAATTCAACAGCAGGCCAGACGAGTAGCCGACGAGTACATGGAGGATGGAGACGCTAGGCTACAGAAGGCTACGCCTAGTTTCTGAAAAGGCTTCCGGACAGTCCTCACACCTTTTTTCGCTGAGGAGTCTGATCAGGTAAAGCCTGAACCTCAGGGAGCTGATTCTGTTTTAAAGCCAAAGCTTGATTGTTGAAGTCATACTGCGCTGTCACAAGGCAAGACGGAGAAGAGCAGAAGGCTGGCTTTGGGTGGTACCTGATGCGTTGCTTCCCTGGCTTTGCTTCATATGGAGCTGCCCCAAAATTCTGGCTGCCGCTGCATTTGTCACAAGGTTCTGCTTTGAATGGCCTTCGCTCCCCCAGCAAGCAAGATGCTGAACAGGCTGGCCTATTTTGAGGGCAAGAATCAGAGTCATAGTTTAGCCTGCAGTTCGTACATGTTTGTACAGTGCTTCTTCGGAAGATATCAGGGTGGCCCCCAACTTGCCGTCCGCTTGCCATAACACTAATAGGAGCAATGAGACCAGTTCTTGACTGGCAGGAGCAGCCACGCCCACGACCAAGCACTTTTTTTCTGCACCGCTTCATGTAAATGTACATGAGCGGCTCGAAACGCAAACCTTGCCAGGTGTACAGAAAAACCATAGCCTGGACTTGATGGAATCCATGGACACCAAGCTGCTGCATCATGGCATTTTCAAAGAGAGATGCCCATAAAAGCACGCACAGGAGGAAGGCCACGCCCACGAAATCACTACTGATTTCGTGGTGCCGCTGCCGCTTGCCAAAAAGAGCTGGTGGAAGAAGTTTTCTGGATCTGGGCATTCCTTTGAACAGGCGAAGATCTAGCAAGCCCCGCTCTCGTCCAATGATCTTCCCATTGCAGCATAATTGGCTTTGGGCTGATCATTCCCTGTCTGCAGCATAAGGCTGTGGCGTTTCCGAGCTGGGCTCTGAGATGCAGCTTGACTTGGAATCTTTACTTTTACGCTTAAGATGACAAAGGTTCTCCGATCAGAGGACAAGCTATCAGCCCGCCTCGTCACAGATGCAGGCCTTCCACTGGTTCCGCGCCTTGTTCCTGTACGTGTCCATCTGCAATAGTCACAACTCCCCGCACTCATTGCGCAGGTGACTTTCTTATGTATGCCAGTGTTAGACTAGAGGTGGGATCATTTGCATGCCACACGATTTGGGCAACACTTGACTGCATATTTGGCAGGCACACCGTATAGACTTCCACCTATACGACAGTTGCCGCAGCCCCAGGGGTCCTGAGAGAACGGAAGGGCGAGGCTGTAGACCCGTTGCAAAAGCCTTCAGGTCAGAAAGATCTCTTTAACCCGGCCAGGCCTGGTAATTATTGCGGAATGAGTGCATTGCACCAGTGGCTGTTTGAAGATCAGAAGCACAGGCCAGCCTTCACCATGAGCCGAACACCTAGAATGGCCCCAAAAGGGCGTTGTCGCACGTTGTCGTTGCTTCATAGTTGAAATAAGGGAAGAGCGCCGCAACGTCTTGCCGCAAGGCTTCAACTCTTCAAGAGACGAGTGGAGACTGGTGGCAGAACAGCACCGCGCTTACAGCTAAAAGAGGGAAAAGCATCTCACGAGCGAGATGCAGCTTGCCGCAGGTGCCAGGCTTGCCACTATGTGCCTCCGCATCTTTCCTGCGCTGCGCACGGCAAGCAGCAGGCCAGCGGCCAATGAGCTTAAGTCACAGAAAAGTCACGTCATGCGGCTACACCAAGAACAGAGGCTAAGACCCTCAAACATGCCGTGTGCTAGTGACAACAGCGGGAAAAGGATGGAAAAGGCAAGACCGTAGTGCGCCAGGTGGCTGTCATCAAGCATAGGCAAGCTGCTGTTGGGGAAGGCATTTCAAACATCATGGAGGCAAGCTGCACCAGCACAGTGTTTGCAAGCTTTTTTGCAGAATGCTTCATATTTCCACAGAGCTGATGCCTCAGGTTCGGATACCGGGCCTTTACCAGAATGACACCAGTGCGTGGGACCCAGCCGGCAGTCCTGTCAAAATGCATGGCCATGTTGGCTGCCGCAAGGCCTTTTTGCCTTACTTCGCGAAATTCCTTGTTTGGGTTGCAGGTGATCTGGTGCCCAATGCTAGGAATGCCCGACTTGGCAGATGCAACCGACCCAGAGCACAAAGCTTGAAGTCTGGCAAAGTGCAATCCATGCCTTGGCGAGCATGTTTCTGCCAGGCGGAAGAGAGTAATGAGATCCAGCAACTCATAACCCGGAAACCGGTATGGAATGAGCAGGACCGTGCTTTGTTTTTTGGCTGTAAGCAGCCCAACTGCAGTCCATGCCCGATGTAGCTACAGTCATTTACAGGTGCAGAGCCTGGTATTGGATTTCAAAGGTCGCGCGTGGCTTAGCAATCAGTCCAGCACCTCAAGCTCGATCGAGTCGGTGCCTGCAGCTTGAGCAGTGTACCAGGCAACATCGTCTCCTCAGCGAGGGGCCAAGCTTCAACTGCTTGCTTAGCAATCCTCCTGCTACATCGGGTGAGATCTCTCAGCCAGTAACCGTGCTAGGCTCCAAGAGAGGGAGGTATAGGAATGGCAGGCAGACAGACAGAGATGTCCCCAACCGGCATGGTCCGCATCATCGCCCGATAAAAGAATAACATGAAAAACGGTCAGCATCATTACAGCATCGCTACACACAAGAGATGCATCATCACGCCCAAACAGACAGTTGAAGCACAATGAACTTGCAGCCTCAAGTTCATCCCTCCATCTGGTAGGCACGCTGAGAGGCTTTGTCCTGCCGGAGTTTATGGCCTTCCGTAGTACACCCTCTCGGGTTGTCGCTGCCTTGAGTCCCTTTGCTTTGTCACAGCCCAAGCTTACCCAAGTGAGTGTTGAGTCGCGGTGGCAATATCACGCCACCTGCGGGATTCTAAAACAGTTGTCGCATTTTGCGCAGGGGATACGCACTAGATGCCCGCAGCAGCCCCGGGTGCCCAACTGACACGTAGGCTAGACGTAAGAGCAAATTAATGTGACCGGCGCAGCCGGATTCCTGAAGCTTGCAGGGAAGTGCGCTGCACATCGCTGCACCTTATTGGGTGAACTGTTGGCTTGTGTTCTTGTTCGGCTACTAGGTAAGGGGAATGAAGGCTTCCCGCGCAATAAAGCTTCCGGCTACCAGCAATGATGATGCAAGGCTTTTTGGTAGGGTCCGGCTAAGACAAGGTCCAGGTATGGAAGCTGACAATCTGAACTTCAAACTCGTAGTTGCTGGGCGAGGTAGTGGTAGTCTTAGAACCCACATGGCAAGAAACCAGGCCCATGGAAGTTCTGTGTGGGATTATGTGGGCAGCGGGCGGGAGCAGCCACTTACAGTTGCAGTGTGAGCGAAATGAAGATTTCCTCTTCACATACAAGCGATAGAGGGCTTCTTTGGCCAGTTTTGGCACACCTCGCGCGCTTCCGCTGCAATACACAGTATTCCGTCTCAGCAGTGTTGTTTCCTTGACATCGTGACTATGCTCCAATGCCATCTTGCTCAGCAAGCAAGTCATCAGGCATCACTGGCATCACTGTCTCAGACTTCAAAATCAGGTGCAGCCAGCTTGTGTGACCAGAAGCCATCTCAATACATCTCAACGCAGTGCTTCACATTCTAACTCGGCCGCCAACATGGCAGCTTCGTTTGAGGAGATCCTTGACAGCAACTGCTGGGCATCGCGAGGCACCTGTACGCCACTGCGTCACCTGTCCTTTCTGAGGAAAGTCGAAGCACTTCGCAAGCTGCGCGACAAGCAGCTTGCCAAGCAGGCTGGCATGCGAAAAGTGTCTTGCTTCATATCGGCGAGCGCTGCTGCAGGACAAGCAGCGGAAGGAAGAACAGTCCGGGGCCCAGTCCGGAGTCCGGAGCGCTTTTGACCACCTGCTGCTGCCGCTGCTGCTGCTGCCGCTGCTGCTGCCGCTGCTGCTGCTGCTGGCGCCGCTGCTGCTGCTGCTGCTGCTGCTGCTGCTGCTGGCATCATCGCACATTTGCTTGCGGCAATCTTCCGATGTACAGGCTGGGTGACACTTGCGTCAGCCCGGCCAAGGAGCAGCGATCCAGGTGTATTTGACACAACGCAGCCCTGTTCAGTTCCCAGAGCTATGTACAAGTAGAGGAGCAGAGCCTGGACTTCGTCCCTGAGCCTGCGCCAAAGCCGCTCTCTATGCAAGTGCAGAACAACTCTCGCTATGGCGCTATTTATTTCTTGTCATTCATGGGCAACAAAACGATACCGAGGCAGAGCTCTGAAGTGGAAGGCCGGTCTTCAACAGCGGTTGCAAAAGCGTGCAAGATTGCTTTTGCCGCAACATCAGGTATGAGCGTGCAAGATGCAGACGCATTCTTTTGCACCGGCCACTGCCATGAACGTGGCTTATACGGCTGCGAGGTCAATCTAGAGGTGGCTGCCAGGTTGCTGCTGGGCTTGTTAAGCTTACGATGCAGTCGAATTCCCGGACCCTCTGCCAACCTTCGGACCAGTACATGAGGTATAGGCTTGCAGCGGAAAAAGGGCACACGGTCGCTCAGTGGCGCCTCGGGGAGCTTCTGGAGTTGCTTGCCAGCCAGACTTCTTTCCTGCTGCCTGCTGCATGTGCCTGACTGCGGGTTCTGAAGGGTTGTTCATGCAATCATGACTGTTGGTGTAACTCACGCTTGTTCGATTCCAGAGTTTGATACATAATCCAGATGCAGAATTGGGAAGAGCTTCGAGACAAACGAAGGCCGAAGAATGCCAAAGAGGCCCTGCACTGGTACACCTTGGCCGCGGAGAGCGGCAATGCCGAAGCGCAAAGTGTGCCCTGGTCATGTAAAATGAGCCATTGTTGTTTGCTTCCCTTGTGTGTAGCAGCATGTCTAGCTGAAATGCTGCTCAGCTTTGCTTGGCTGGACATTGCACAGGCGTTGGCCCTAATGCTGGAAGATGGCGCTGAAGGAGTGGATCAAGATCCTGAAGCGGCCCTGAGATGGCACCTGGCAGCGGCTGAGAAGGGAAATGCTGTGCAGCTGGCCTCCAACAACAGCTTTGTCTTCTTAGGATGGGTTCATCACACAGCATGGCTACGAAAGATCAAGCAAAAGTGTCCCGGAAACTTTGGGCAGAGCTAGCTTTAGAAGCATGATTTGTCAAATGACATTTTTTTGGCCCGGGCTTTTGGGAGTACTGGCTGCGGGGCTCCTGGCATCGAGGCCTCACCGCTTCAAGTTTCTCGGCTCGTGCTTTGCATCGGCTAATTTTACTATTACTATTGCTAATGCTGCTACTATTAAACGAGTACTCCTACTACTTCGACTTCTACAACCACCACCACCACCACCGCCACCGCCACCGCCACCGCCACCGCCACCGCCACCACCACGACTACTGCTACTACTGCTACTACTGCTACTACTACTACTACTAGTAGTACTACTAGTACTACTAGTACTAGTATTAGTACTGCTACTAAAACGCTCCAAAAAAGCGGGGAGGTCAAGCAGGGCCAGCTGCGAAGCATTGATTATGTTGTTGTCTTTTGGGAATCCCGGCAGAGGCCATGGCTGATCACCTAGAACTAGTCCAACGGAAAGTACGACCGACAACACTGGTTCCTGCACATAGGGCCTGTTCCCGTCAGTCTTTGAATGTGAAGAGGGATGATTGCAATCACATCGAGCTTAATTGCGATGCAACGTCAATCAAAATAGGCGGCTTACCGGTATTACCAGTACAACTACGGTCCGACTTGCTAAGCGAGCACTCCATAGTCTCAAGTGTCTGCTTCCCTACACAAGCAATGACTGCCAGAAGCAGGGATAGAAGCCAGATTTCGAAATTAGAAATGGGATTCAGACAGGGACACCGAACCGAGGATGTTACTTTCATTGCCCTCGGAAAGTATCAAAGAAGCCTGCGTGCAACGAAATTTTCAGATTCCCCTGCCAGCTCTTGACTACCAAGCGTTTGGAATTAGGATGGTCTTCTTGATGCGTTGCATGGCTTCGGAATTTCTGTTTTCTGCCGGCAGATGAGTTTGTTCTCAGCCACGAGGGTCTACCATGGCATGTACACGGTTAGAAAACTGTGATAGCAAAGTAGAATTCTATGGTACGCCAAAAAAATTTGGTAACATTCAGAATTGCCACGAGTTTGGAAGGTTCAAGTCTTCGAAGACCTTATCGAATCAAAGTTGATGTTTCCCTGAGTGTTTTTTTTGTCTTTGGTGTGTTGATCCTGCACGGATGCCTGGTTTTCAAAACCGTTGCTTAGGAAGCAGTTTCGCCATCTGGCGTTCATTTCAAGAGTGCCCGTCATTGAAGTTCTGCGCAGAGCGCATTGTCTGCTGCCGCTGATATGATTTGGAAACAGGTTCCCCCTTTTTTAAGTGTTGAGGCTTCCGTACAACGACTCCTTGCACGTCTTCTCATGCATCGCGTGATTCACAGCCTGCTAACAGCGTGTACGCAAGAAGAGTAAGAAGTCCGCGACGCGAACCGGTCGCAGATGTCAAGGAACGCGCATGCAACGTCTTGGAGAGCCGCAGTGAATTTTCCAGACTTGTGCAGAGTCCGCATGTGTGGCATTGTATTCTGTGCCTCAGACATGCCCGCACGCCACCTCGCGTATGACCGACTGGCATCGACGACTATGACTACGACTACCACCATGACGACGAGTACTACTGCGCTACGACTGCAACCTCGACGACGACTGACTACTACCACTACTGCTGCTACTCTACTGGCACTGGTGCTAATACTTCTGATGGCTACGGGCCAAAAAGCGAATGCCCACAAATCAAGAACAGGAACTCCGGAAGTCCTATGCAAATTCTGCGCCCCACACGTCAAGCATTTCCAGATTTTTGTCGTGGCTGCTGATCAGCAGCAATCCTGCAAAAGAACAAGTTCCACCTAATGATGCTGCCGCAGCCTGGTTTGGGATTCACATGAGTACCCCTGAAGCAGGTTTAGACAGGATGAGGTGTCAAATGTTCTTGCTTCATGCTTCGTATTGAGGCCTCCGCCATATAGTAAGCGGATTCATGCACAAAAGCCTCAAATGGCACATGCAAGACTTACATGCGCAGGTCCCAATACTGCTCAGCCTGCCTGCTGTCAAGCGGTGGCCATGTGGAGGAAGCGCATCAGTGGTTGCAGCTCAGCGCTGGGCAGGCAGATGCGCTGAGTGATACGCGCTGTTGCACTTCACTGTTTCAGATCTCATGCATCGCGGCAGGGCTTCCGACCGGCCAAGCAGGTTTTGGAGGAAGCTGATCTGAACAGCTTGTCCCGAGACGTCCAAGACCAAGGCCTGAAGGCATGTCTCTTCAAGATCCACAGTGGTACCTGCCAAGAGTATCGCCTTTGTTTTCCTGCCCTGACCTCGCTCCTGTGCCTTAGTCATGTCCTCGAGGATAGTATGGTGGTGCAGAGCCACAAGTAACTTGCGGTAGATAGACGTTGGGTTCATAAAGCCTGACAGATCCAACATCGGATGGGCCAACTGGTGGCGACCTCGTCAATTTGGCAACCCGGATCGCCGATCAGTTGAAAGGCCTTCAGGACCTTTGCTGCCGTGCCAGTTGTTGAGGCTTCAAACTTCGCTCACTTTCAGCAAAGCAATCGCCCAATGACCGGAAATGAGTGAAACAAGATTTGGTTGATGTTGCCTAGTCGAAAAGAAATTAACGTCAACTCCCAGGCGCCCTGCCACTCAAAGCCACAATGGCAGCTGCTTAGACACGTAAAGCCCTGACGTCATAAACTCAGTCGTTGAGCTCCTGCCAACAGGTCGTGGGGAGTCCAGAGAATATACGAGTGTTGAAAATGTCAGGCTCGCCCCACAAGTCCAAGGACGCCACCAGTCTCGGGTTTGGACCAGTGGTGTTTGATGTCAGGCTGGCCCCACAAGTCCAAGGCCGTAGGAGTGGTTCTTGAAAGTAGGCTCACACCACGAGTTCAAGGCCGTCAGCAGTCTAGGGTTTAGACGTGTCTTTTTAAATGCAGGCCCGCCCCACGAGCCCAAGGCCGTCAGCAGTCGACCATTTAAACGAGTTTCTGTTCAATTCCGCATATGGAGAATGGGGGCCGTGCCCCAAAACCCCGCTCCCTGCTTTGAATTGTGGCATCATGCAAGCATTGTGCAAACATGGATGCGCATGGATGTTGGTGAGCCTTATACTTTGCTCACTTGGGCAGCTTTCCTGTCAACTCCAAACCAAACATGATCCCACACGAAGTCGGATGAATCTTCAAATCCTCCCATAAGTCACGATGATGTTGTTGGTGGGGTGGGTGAGGCCGTGCCTTCCAACCTCTTCATTGGGCTGGCACTCCCATGTGATGTCCAGCCGCCCTGCTTTGAACAACTATTGTCATAATAGACACTTCTCGGAAACAGACTTGCCACACACAGACACACGCACACACGCCAAGTGTTGGCATCATTGGAAAAACACATGGCAAGCGGAGCTGGCATGTTTTTCCTGCGGAGGACGATGAGGCAGAACAACTGCTGGACGAGCTATTGAATGAATGTCCAAGTCTGGCAGATCCAGGCTGGCACTTGAACTACAGTAGCTGAGAAGCGGCTTCCAGGGAGAGAGAGAGGCGAGAGTATTGAGGTCTTGGTGCCGCTTTGCCGGTGGGAAACCGAGCATTTGCATAAGCACCCGCATGGACTCAAGCAAAATGTTCTTGCCGAGGTCCCTCGCGATCTCATTGAAAGCTGCGGTGAGAGCAGCTAGATAGCTCCGCAGATTTCGTGCATGCGAATCCGAAACGGATCATCCGTATTGATGATTGTGAATGGCACAAATCCGTGCAAAAAGAGCTGTGTTTGGAAGCGCCGTGGCGGTCTACATGCGGATGCATAATTGGTGTGCGCAAGCATGTAAGCAAATGCAATCATGCATGCGTATGTGAGCACATATGCCGTAATGTTACCATAGCATGAATAAAGGGGGTGGCAATAGCTTTTTGTTGCCGGACCGGAAAATCGCGTACAACCTAATTTCCTTTCTAACAAGTTTTGAGCCCGACAAGGTCTACTTCAGTCCAAATCGCAATAATGAAGGGGTGGTAATAATAATATTGTCCGGCCTGAAACGTCCCGATTTTAATAGATTCCCTTCTACTTGTCCTTCTAGTGGTTTTTTATTACGACCCCCCCCCTTCCGCAAGCCCAACTCACAAAACAAGTTCTGGGGGGGGGGGGAGTTCATTAATGTCACGGTAAGATGTAAGTATGCGTGCATATATGTATGTCTCAAGCCCGCCTCGGAAGCCCGGTGCAGAGACGTGCAAAGTCTTGCGCCGATGCTGCAAGGCCAAGAATTTTCAACTGGCGTTGCGTCAAAAGCCGCAGCACGTCATCTGCCAGCAACCAAGCAGCATTCAACGTGGAAGCCTGTGCTGTAGTTGGTTGCTAAACTCACTCAATCATGGACAGTCTGCAGAAGCCAGGTACGGAAAGCTTGGGCCAACAAACTTTGGTCTTGATTTCAGATATCCCATGAGCTTCTTGGCTTCACTCTGTAGCCTAGGGCCAGTGCAGGACCGTGCTTTGAGAACCTCAAGCTTGCGCTTCACAAGGACAACACTCCACCATTCGTGTCTTCGTCAGCCAAGGCGTTATACAAGCATTTGGCGCAGCCATGTCAACTTTGTTCTGGCTCCCTGGATAGCATTGTATGCTACTGGAGTTCCCTGTGCTCCCTACTTGCCTCTGCTGCACGGTACAAGGTCAACACAGCCATGCAGGACATGTTGACATGCATGGGTTCATCGTGGTAGTCAAAGACTGAGGACGTGAGGCATTACTGCCTCTGTGCGGCAACGAGGGCCATGGATGCAGCTGTAAAAGGGGAACGGATTTCTAAAATCGCGACTTTTTGCACTGGCGCAGTAGAAATGCAAGGTAGCCGGTTCCCTGTAGACTGCACAGGTTCAGGAGTCGCAAATTTCCAAGAAGGCCTTTCACTTTTAATTAACAGAAAGATTCTAAGAGGGGTCGGGCGGGACCCAGGATACGTTTAGATGCGGGCAAGCTTATTTACCTTGGAATTTCCTGAGGACAGGCGGAAATTTGATTTTTCTCAAAAACTTAACAAAGGAAATATAAAATACATACCTCAATATTACATCGCGGCCACTTGCGGTCATTTCGCTCGCGCGCTGCCTAGGTTTTCCGGCTCACCTTTGAAATGCCTCCTGCGGGCTCCCTAGGCGCTCTAAAATCTTGGAGATTTTAGAGCCCTTCGGAATATCCGGGTTTTTTTGTTCGGGCGGCGCGACCAAAAATCTCGGAGATTTTTGGCCGCGCGGCCCAACGGTTTTCCGCGTGATTTATCTCTCTTTGGCTGTCTGCGCGGCTGCTCGGCGGAGCGCATAGACCCGAGACGGAGAACCAAAATCTTGCAGAATTTGCAGCTTGGCCGTGTTTGTGCACGAGGATTTACGCGCTCCCCCGAGCCGCCGCGTAGATAGCCCAGGAGAGATAAATGAAGCGGAAAGACCGTGCTGGATGCGGGGGCCGCGCGACCGAAATCTCCCGAGATTTCGAACAATTTCTCTCTCTTCGGCTGTCTGCGCGTCGGCTCGGTGTAGACCCGGGGCGGAGATCCAAAACCTTTCAGAATCTACTAGGTTGGCCGTTTTTGGTCACGTGCGGTCCTTTATATGGATTGTTCGTCGGGCTTCACGTGCGATCTTTTATGTTCCGCGTGATATATCTCTCTTTGGTTGTCGGCGGGGCTGTTCGCAGGAGCGCGTAGACCCGGGTTGGAGAACCAAAATCTTTCAGAATTTATAGGTTGGCAGTGTCTGTTCACGGAGATTTATGCGCTCCCCCGAGCCGCCGCGTAGATAGCCCAAAAGAGATAAATGAGGCGGAAAGACTGGGCTGGATGCAGGGCCGCGCGATCAAAAGGGCCGCGTGACCAAAAATCTCCCAAGATTTCGAGCTATTTCTCTCTCTTTGGCTGTCTGCGCGGCGGCTCGGTGGAACGTGAAGACCCGGGGCGGAGATCTAAAATCTTTCAGAATCTATATGCCACGGGCGGTCTTAAAATGTTGATAGTTCATCGGGCTTCACGTGCGATCTTATGTATTGCTTGGTCATCGGATTTCCCGTTATGGGTCTCCGGAACGATTTTCCGCGTGATTTATCTCTCTTTGGCCGCCTATGCGGCTGCTCGGATGAGCGCATAGACCCGGGACGGAGAACCAAAATCTTTCAGAATTTATAGCTTGGCCGTGTCTGTGCACGAGGATTTATGCGCTCCCCCGAGTCTGGGCGCACATAGCCCAAGAGAGATGAATGAGGCGGAAAGACCGTGCTGGATGCGGGGGCTGCGCGAGCAAAAATCTGCCGAGATTTCGAGCCAGTTCTCTCTCTTTGGCTGTCTGCGCGGCGGCTCAGTGGAACGTCTTGACAATGGGCGGAGATCTAAAATCTTTCAGAATCTATAGGGTGGTCGCTTTTGTCACGTGCGGTGTTGTATATTGACTGTTCGAATCTATTCGTCGGGCTTCATCTGCGATCTCATTTGTTATTGTTCATCGGGCTTCTCGTTAAATCAATAGTATGGCGCGGCCACTTGCAACCATTTCGCTCACGCGCGGCTTAGTGTTTCCGGCTGAAAAAAACGCCTCCTGCGTGCTCCCTAGGGGCCCTAAAATCTCGGAGCTTGTATTAGTGGCGCTCAACTCTTCCGAGATTTTTGGTGCGGGCGGCGCGACCAAAAATCTCGGAGATTTTTGGCCGCGCGGTCCCTGCCTCCGGAGCGGTCTTCCGCGTGACTTATCTCTCTTTGGCTGTCGGCACGGCTGCTGGGAGCAGCGCAGAGCCTCGGGATGGAGAACCAAAATCTTTCAGAATTTACAGCTTGGCCGTGTCTGTGCACGAGGATGTATGCGCTCCCCGAGCCGCCGCGCAGATAGCCAAAGAGAGATGCATGAGGCGGCAAGACCGGGCTAGATGCGGAGGCCGCGCGACCAAAAATCTCTCGAGATTTTCGAACCAGTTTTCTCTCTTTGGTTGTCTGCACGGCAGCTCAGTGGAACGTCTTGACAATGTGGGCGGAGATCTAAAATCTTTCAGAATCTGTAGGGTGGTCGCTTTTGTCACGTGCGGTGTTGTATATTGACTATTCGAATCTATTCGTCGGGCTTCATCTGCGATCTCCTTTGTTTTTGCTCATCGGGCTTCTCGCTCAAGCAACAATATGGCGTCATTTTCGGCTGTTTCGCTCGCGCGCGGCTTAGCTTTTCCGGCTCAAGAAAAAAAGATCTCGACACGATCCAAAATCTCGGAGATTTTATTCCAGAATAATTTTGATAATTTTGGGAATGATTTATCTCTCTATGGTTGTCGACGTGATTGCAGGGAGAAATATATAGATTCGGGGCAGAGAATCGAAAATTTTCAGAATTTATAGGTTGGTCGTATCTATCTACGGGAATTAATACGCTGACTCGAGCCGCCGCATAGAAAATTCAAGTGAGATAAATGAGATAGAAAGACTGGGCTAGATGCGAGGACCACGCGACGAAAAATCTTTCGAGATTTTGAATTATTTCTCTCTCTCTCTCTCTCGCCCTCTGTGCGGCGGTTGGATAGAATATATTTGGGCGGAAATCTAAAATTTGTCGGAATTTATAGGGGAGTCGTTTTTGTCGTGCCGATTCGTATATTGCTTATTCTTTGGACTCTCTATTGCGGAGATCATTAGCGATTTATATTCTGCGTTATTTGATAGGAAATTAGATTAGTAGCGATTGGCTTAATACACGAAGAATTTCGGAATTAAAGATCTTCAAATTCAAATTTATAAATCTTGAGACTTATAAATCTTTAATTTTTGAATTTAATTTATCATAAAATTAGATTCCTTAGAAAATTTAAACTTCTTTATTTTATGATTATCTAAATTATCTATCGTCTATATTCTTTCGATTTTGCTGAATAAGATTCATAGAAATCTCTTAAATAAGTCGTTCTATAAATCATTTTGAGGCATTTCGATTATAGCTCCTTTGAATTCGCCTTATTTGAAATTTGATTTCAAGAATCTATATTGAAGAGAATATCTGAGGCCATAAGAGATCTAAAAATTTTTCCTAAGCCTCTTAAGATTCATTTGAATTATTATCTAATTCTGATAATATTTTAACTAATCTCTTATATAAATCTTATGGAGGGATTTCGAATTCTCTAAGAATTTTTATTGAAATGAATATGGTTGGGATCAAGAGACCTAAATGAATTTTCTAAATTTCTAAGAAATCATTGATTTTATCGTATATTTTCTTATTATTGACCTAAATGAGGTTTATAATAATATGCTAATTAATGAATTATATGAATTAAATCCGTTGGAGAAATTTCGATTATTCTTCATTCGGACCTCATTTATTTTAGATATTGATCCTAAAATTCGTTGAATCGAATATCTTATCTTTTGAAATCATATTATCAAAAATATTTCACGATAGACTCTAATATGATGAATATTTCGTCTTGAAGGCCTTGCGATTTAAGGGAATTTAGGGGAGAATTAAAAAGACTAAGTTGGAATGATATTCATTACGATTCAAGGATATATGGTCTAAATCATGCGATTTGGAGCTCTTTTCTAAATTGATTAGGAAATATTTCGGCTTCATATATCATAGTGTTGCGAGCCGGCGATTTAAGCAATTAAGATTGGAATATATATATGAGATTATATAATTATATATTCATTATCAATCGGATTTCTCATCAGATATTCTCAAATGATAATATTCCGCTCTTATAGGCAGGAGATCTATTCTAATTTTATATATTCCTTGGAATTTCATGAAATGATTGATTTAAATAAAATCATTGAATCAGATTATTTCTATTATTAATAAATATTTGATATTCATTTAGAGGAAGATTTTCTTTATAGGAGGATAATTAAAATAAGATCCTAATCAAAAATCAATTCGAAATATATTCCATATCTTTTTCTAGAAAATCTTCAAATTTATCATAAAAAATATATCTTTTGGATTATAAGTACGAAAATTCGCAAAAAGAGATATTCTTATATATCTATTTCGAGATTCTTTGAAAATAGATATTGGATTTGGGATAATTTTATATATCTATTCTATGAAATAGATAAAATTTCTAGATAAAGAAAATATATATTTCAATATTACGACGCGGCCCCTTGCAGCCAATTCGTGCGCGACCTATTTTTTTTCCGATTCAGCTCTAAAACGCATTCTGCGGGCTCCCTAGAGACCATAAAACCTCCGAGGTTTTAGATCCTTTCGGAAAAGCTAGAAGCCCTAAAATCTTCGAGATTCTTGATGCGGGCGATACGACCAAAAAATTCGAAGATTTTTGGTCGCGCGGCCCTTGCCTCTGGAGCAGTTTTCCGCGCGACTTATCTCTCTTTGGCTATATGTTGCGCGATTAATCGGGAATGCTTATATATCCGAGATGGAGAATCTAAATCTTTCAGAATTTATAGGATCGTATCTATCTACGGGAATTTATGCGTTCCCCGGGAGGTCCATCTACGGCGATTTATAAAATCACCGGGATTGTATCCGGGAGGTCGCGCGAGCCAAAATCTCTCGATATTTCGAATCATTTCTCTTTCTTTGATTATTTGCGCGGCGATTCGAAATAGTCCTGGGCGGAGATCTAAAATCTTTCAGAATCTATTAGGTTGGTCGGTTTTGATCATATACGTCTGGAATAGTGATTATTCAGCGAATTTTATATGATCTACGTGATTTATCTCTCTTTGATTATCAGCGCGGCTATTCGTT